CTAATTTAGGAAGAGCTTTATTATTTTAATTAAGATGTCCGTGGAAAGGATTTCAAACTTCAGTCGATGTCCAAAATCCCATGTTTTGGAGAATGTGATAGAATCGTCCAAAGTAATTCCTATATTTTCTTGGGGCAAGATACTACAATGTTGAGGGATTACCCATTTTCTGTTAAGTAATCCCGAATGTCTGTCATTCCCAACTGTTAAAAACAATAAAATTCGCTGTAACATTTTCTATCAGTTTTAGCGATTCATGGTGGATCACTAAAGTACGTCCCCAAGAGTCATCCCTGACGCGTCTAGGAGAATGAAACGTGAATGATTTGGAAACGCTCGTCAATTTCTTCTCAATAACGTTGGCGTCTCATTAGCAATTTGGTGACAAAGATATACACCTAAATCCCGACCATGATAAATTTAACCTTGGACTCCAAGTAAAACTGCACAATTGACAATTAAGTTTAGGCGATAATCCACCGATTACCTGACTCAATCAGGGATTTTAACACACCATTAATATGCGTGGGTCGACATAATCATGTTGGGATATCAGTAGAATTCCTATTTCCTGTTTAAATATTCTAAACCAAAGCTGAAATTGGCGGATTGTATATGATTGGCCATAAATTTAAGTAATGGTTTTGGTAGCCAATAAAACAATAAAGCGAAATTTATTGCTCACAACCAATGTTGAACAACTAGTCAACTAAGAAAACTATTCACAGTTATGTCCATCATTGTATCCAGGTACAGAGTGAACGCAAACATCAATCTGTAAACTGAGTGATATCTCATAAGGATCCCTAATGCGTAGGCAAATGGGAAAGTTAGAAATCTGGAGGCTTATTTGCTTATACTCAAATACATAAGTGAACCCAAACAAAAAAATAACTACAATTAGATGTGACCAACAAAGACAACAATCAATCAAAAAATTACCCCGACTCTGCGATGCTTAAACCCCACCCCTCCAGCTCTGAATTATTTATGAATTGATGCATTATACCAATACTACTATATGAGCTATTCAGTTTTCAAATTATTTTTATTCAATATGGAACACTATAGGTAATAAATAAAAAAAGGGCAAATAAAGTTAATAAAGGAGGGGCAAGCCAGACTTACTTTGTAGCTGAACCTCCTATATAAAGATCATCATTTACAGCGTATACGCACTCAATGGCATACCTAACAAAAACATTAGCAACCAGATAAGATATTTCATTTTAGCTTAAACAGTACTGGAAAAATGACCTACTCAGAAGGATTTTTGACGACATATTGAACGCAGACCTCCTGTTCGACCTTCCAGAGACAAATTCCAGCACCCCCAAATCCTGAGGCGGACACGCACCGTTCTGAAGAAAGTCCACAAATTGAGAGCACTTCAATCTTTGTAGCAGCACTACAAAGGAAGCATAAAAAGTAAATTAGTGGAATTAATGGAATCAAACTTACTACCAAAACAGCGAAAGTATGCTAACAACAAAATGTTCTGTGACAGATAAATCGTCTAATCAAATTGTAAATATCGTAATTCTAGACGGCATCATTCAGTGACTTCAAGAACTCAATAGAGTAAATGGAAGATGACCTGGAGCAGGCGTTTTAACTTCCTTCTTGATAAAGGAAATAAAAAAGTACTGTCTAAATTCTCCTTATTGGTTGACCACCGCATCATGTCGTTTATCATCAGAATTTCTTCGCAACAAACCTATAAAATTTACCCAAGGCTTTGAACGGGTTGATACAAATTTAGAGATCATAGCCAACGAAAACACGGCCTAACATTCTAATGCAAATGTTACGCAGATAATCATGCAAACACCGAGCTAATCAACAATCACATAAAATCAAAGCCAAACGAAGTAAATCTAATACTCGTAAAATTTTTCCTATTTTTGGTATTAGAGTTAGTCTGCATAAAATCTATCCATAAAACAGAGTCGCCATACCCTTGATCCTGAAGAATATCAGTCAATGGTAAATTCCAAACACAGACTCGACCAAATTTATCTCCTGAAAACATCATATGAGATTGACGCTGGAAACTGAGAGCCTTAAAAAATGGAAATAAGTATTAAAGAAATTTCTAAAAACAAATACTAGCCAAAACACAACTTACGGTAACTGGTGAACGATGGCGCTGAAGACGAAACAGCAATTCAAGGGTATCAGGGTTCCAGATTATAATACTATGGTCTGCGCTTCCGGTAGCTAGGTATTTACCATCATCAGAAATGGCGATGGCTAGTACAGGACCAGTATGATAGAGGGAAGAAGATCCTTTCCTTCCACCTCTGACAATTTTAGTCTTGGAAAAGTCATTAACATTCCCTAAGAAAGAAATAAGATCATCGATGAAATCGCAAAATACATTTAATAATAGATGCATCCTTTCCACCAGAGAAGATGTATTTAGTATCTGAAGATATACAAAGACAGGTAACCGTTTTTCTATGACCAAGAAGACAAATTATGGATTCTGGAGGCACGGAATTGAACTGAAAAACAGTGATTTAAATAATTTGAAAGCAAGCAACCTTATCAGCTACTCGAAAAAAGAGCTTCCCCCTAGCTTGAAGAGCTTCCTCTTGAAGACGAACAGTTAATGTAGCCATAGGATCGTCATCGTCAGAACCAATTGCTTCTTTAGACTTTGCTAAAGCCAATTTGGCAAGCCTAATACGTTTTTCATGAGGGGTTTCTATTTCTTCATCCTCCTCATAGTAATCGACTGGTTGATCAGTGTCAGACTCGATGATACTTTCTTCGGAAGGTATTTCATCGTCACTGCCGAATATTTTAGATCTCTAATCAATCGTAAAACGCAAATGAATTGCTTACTTTATTAGGACGAGACGACCCCCTGTGCACACGATCAGCACGCGCCTTCGACATCCTTGAAATGCAGCCCTCGACTAAGCACAACAAAACGAAGCAAAATGTTAAAATACGCAAATATTAACTAAATAAAAAGCAAGTTTAATTTGTCTCAATTTAATTCCGCATTTTTATAATATTGTGCTTTTTTGAATTAATAAAATATCGGTTTGAGTTATTGAGAAATTTAATTTTTTAATATATTCAATAATTATAAAGCAAATTGTGTTTACAATTTGTGACCTTACTTTATGTTTATATTACCTAAATTTCTGTCATTGTTCATACATTTCTTTTGTTAGATCGTTTGATACTTTTTGGACATATTTCAATGCCAATTAAAAATAAAAAACTGTCAAACGTAAATTATTTTTAATCTGATCTTAAAATAGAAACATACATTGGAGATTGAAATAAGGACTTTGGAAACAGCATTTTTATTATTAGAATCAAATGAACTAAATGTTAAAACAGATGCAATTTATTATATTCTAGATCTAGATATCAAAGGTAGTTTCATAATTTTATTCCACTGTAGACATTAACTTTGAGCCCTCTTCCAATTTTAATAAAAAAATTTCTGTTCTGCTAAATTTATTTGAGAAATCGGATGAAAACACTAAGGACTTATTGCTTAAGGTTATGGAGAAATTTTTCTCGTTTCGTATTATTGATCTCGAATTCGATTGTGTACGACGATTAATAGATGTCTGTATAGGTTGTCTAATTTCAAATGGTTAGCCAATCTCTTTCAATAATTATTTTGACAGCAAATAATTTACAAAGAAATTCATTGAGGATTCTGCTCTATCTGCTCTCTCTTCCACTCCCAATAACGGAGTTTTTTCAGAGAGATGGTATTGGAATTCTCCTCAATAAACTTAAATATTCTGATAATGAAATCAAACTACTCGTCTTACACCTTTTTAAGGAAATCTCAAAAGTAAGTTTACAAAGAAATAGATAATAATTTTAAACTAGGACTTTGATATTATTGTGTATAAATTCGAAAACATCGTTACTTCAATTGTGGAAAATGTATTAAATAGTCCTAATGAAATTCAATCAGCATCTCTAAAATGCCTAGTGCCCCTTATGTCTTTTGGTATGCATTTTTATTTCCTTGGAGTGATTTAACAAATCATTCAGACTCGTGTAAAAATAAAATACTCCAATCTGATTTTCTGTTTCGGTTAATAACACTACTTGAGAACACGAAAGATTTGAATCTTGTCGAAGACTTGCTTGAGGTGATTGCGCTTTCACTTGGAAGCCGCGTGCCCCAAGCTGTAATCTAGATTATTTTTAAAGCGATTTTATTAAGCTAATAAATAAGGTTTCAAATATCTCCACACTTATATGTTGGATTTCAAGTTATGTAATGGAACAAATTGATGAAGGCATTATTACAACAAAATCACCTGTTAAATCTCCAGCGAAGAAATTTACTGTGAAAATACCGAAATCAAAGCAAGGAAACGTTTCTGGTTCGAGTTATATAATCCAGTTATGATTTTTAACTATTAGCATGGAAATGTGCTGCCAATTGGCCTAATATACAAATGTGTTCCTGTGAAATTCTCCGAAGATTAGCTCAATATGGTAAAAGGCGTGAATTGATGGATGTGTTTTATTGAACAGATGAATATTTGGCAACCCTTACAAATAACAGTGTTGATAAGAAGGTTATGAACCTGGTATCAAAGTCACAGGATGTAAATGTGCAGGTAGCGGCTGCCAAAGCAATGGCTACATTTTTCCGAAGTCCATTAGTTCGTTTGTCTGCTACTGCGTCAGGTAAATGAATAGTCCACAATCATTGTAACTGATGCCTTTTAGATATTTTAAATAAATTCGTACGCATGTACAACTCTAAGCATTTTGAATCTCACGAAGCGGCTCTTTTGGCTTTAAGCAACCTCGTTAAAGACAATACAATCAGTTGCATGTATGCTACATAAATAATCTTCCATTTTTTTAGGGAACTTGGACAAACTCCGAATTTCATTTTTCAACTTGTCGGAAGTTTGTTAGAATCGGAATCCATCACACTCCTTACTCTGGATATCTTACGGGAGTTTGCAAAGCACGATGCATTACGAATTAAGCTATATGAGTTTGATATCATTCCAAAAATACTTGAATTATCCAAATCTTCGTAAGTTAGAGAAGTTACCAATTAAACTTATCACTATTAATTAAGTACTCGTCATCTTAAAATTAACCAGTTCTAATTATGCTAAGTGTATCAATTGTATCAGTTACATGACATTACACGTTTAACAAAATACCACCTATGTACTTTAGATCCGTCTAGATTCCAATTTATGAGTAAGAATACGAAATTTGGCCTCTGCTAACGAAGGCTGGTTTACAGCAATATTTTGTTAGCAAGACTATTTTTCTTCAAAGACTTTAGTTCATTTTGAGTGTTAATTAAGACACGTGGCTATAAATAGTTAATGGACATTCAAAGAAACCCTTTCGGGCTCGACTAGCGTGCTGACGGGTTGTCAATCGCACTAAGGAGCGAATGAGGTCGTGAGTGCAGAGAATCAATATTCAATCAATAGTCACGACATGGATAATGTGGCCAAAATAGCATTGAATGACTAAGTTCCGTGCCAGTGATAGTTCAAATAAACTTGTTCCACTTCATACCTCTGTTTCCTCTATATCGTTGGGGTAGGGTAACTGATCCCGAGAGCCATTCCAAACTTAAGAAAGATTGCTACGGATTACTGAGCATAAGTCGTGTAGCAATCCATTATGCATCGTTGTGTTTCATCATGAATGTGTTACTTGGCTCTTTATCTTTATATGAACATAAACAGTTCGTGACATGAGTAAATACCTTTAGCCCAATATTATTATCATTATAATTTAAATAATGTTTTAAATTTTAATCTAAAACATTTTCTAAGAAAAAAACAATGCTTCTACCTGGTTTTCAGTTGAATTCATTAGTTTTATTATTTCAGTTCTGAACGTGTTCAAGAAAGACTTTTATATTTAATTCCATTGCTGGTTACATCAGATGACGAAATCACACTATTTCAACAGGCTGACGGAATAGAAATCGTCTTCAACTTTTTAAAATGCACTTGCTCTGAAGTTCGAAAAGTTGCCACAATTTCGATTGGTCTTCTTGCAGAAAATGCATTCGCGGCTAGAATAATTCTTAAAAGCGGGTTCGCTTAAGCCTGTTAGATTCCCGCAGTAATCCAATAGCTCATTAACTCAAAAAATAACTTCTTAAATGCTAGGTGGCTGGAACATCTCTACTTAATGCAAAGTTCAGAAGATCAATGTTCTGGTTATGCGAAGATAGCCATTAAGCACATTCTAGATGCCAATCTTGTTCTAAAGTTCGCAATGACTGGCATACTGGGTAAGCATTACCTATTTCCCAATAAAATATAAAAATTATATCCCTTAGTTCATTTGCATGCCACTGAAGACGGAAAGTGATGGGATTAATAGGAGAGTGTCCAATTGTAAGAAGATTAGAATAGTCTCTAGTTGTTGCGGTTTTCTGATTTGATTCAATTCACATATACAATTTTATTCATTTTGCATAGTAGTCTAGCGATAAAATTCAATTAAATTCACAAATTAAAAGTTAGCAATTGAATTGTATGAGATAATACATTGAAGACTAGGATGGTACTCAAGAATGCATGTATAGGTAGATGTTGAGATTCTATCGCTTTTCACTTTAGAGTAAGTCACCAGGGATGAATTGAAGTCATTAAACATTGGGATTGCGAAGTGATGCTGATCACACACAAATGAAACATGGATGTATAAGGCAAATGAATTGGATAGAACAAAGACAGCCTTATAATAAATAACTAAATTTTATGGATATAAGTGATAGAATATGGTAGAAGCCTGCAGTGGATTGGTACCTTAGTAAAGCCTGAACAACTCAGAAATCTCTATGGCAGATCCTCCTACATCTAGCTAGACTCCCAGAACTAGCTTAGCTGTAGACAAGCTATGAAAGGAAACAGACGTATAGCAAGGAGCACGTTTATTCAGTCAGTATATTGTACTCATGATCAGGATGGGGGATTAGGTTAAACAGGGGTTAATGATTGGTCACTGTTTGTACGGTCGCTGCACACAGAGTTGTAGGGCCGCACCTCTCAATCCTGGCGAGCAGGCATACGATGACGCACACAGCGATAACGTGTCCCACAAGCCTCAGTATAAGTCTGTGTCAACGGAGCATTGTTCATCGTGTCTACTTGAAAAGTTCTTAATGGTGGGGCCAATAACTGTTTGTCAACTCTCATATGTATAATAGTAGTTAGAATAGAATGTGTTAAGAGTAACTACTGATCTTCCAATCAATATCAATTTACGCTTGAAAGTCTCAATCAACTAACTAATAACACATTCTCTCTTGGATGAAATCAAAGTTAAAGTGCCTTTATTTTGTGCATCAGAAAGAGTACAATCTCTTAATGATACCAATTGCTTAAATATTCAATTAATATGAAAAACTTGCAGATACACATGAGTTATTAATTTTCCCTTGCTCAGTAATCCATCTAAGCATTTTAGCATGCAAATTAACTAAATGTGATGTATATGTTTTAGATTATTCAGATATAACGGGAGATGTATTTTACGATGTTGGACCCATGAAAACATCTGAGCATCTTAAAATCACACAGATTTACTCCAACGAATTACTCAATAACTCAATACCAACTTGGATTCTAAATATCACCGAAGCGTGTGTTTACCTCTTTTGTTTCAATTTCAACTGAAATAGCAAATCTTTTTAATTCATGAAAAAAAATTTAGGGGTACGTTGGATTCTGACGGTTTCCAATTGCCTTACGATACGGAATTGAGGACTTTTATTAAATCAAGCACATTAAAAATTAATGAAACACCGGACTTGGAAGAGAAAATCCGTATATTGGCAGTGTATGCTTATGATTGCTTAAAAAATTATTTTACTGAAATCGTATGATTAACTTCAACATAACTATTTTTACTTATTTTCAATGGTTTACAAGTAACGTAAACACATTGGGCACCTAGTGATCTAATAAAATGTATACTTTATTTAGGGAGTGTTTCAAGGTCATAGCCATTGGTCCCGAAAACGTATATTTTCGAGAATTAATACTATTTTATTTTAGGCGTCTTTTAAGATGCCAAGGTTAGCTAGCGTAGACTGAAGCTCAAAGAAACACCACTGTACGTTAAATTATTCAATTCCAGACATTTAACGTGCATCAGCAATAGTAGAATTTGCGATTGGCGATCTTGTTATCGTTGATTTTCTTACTATCAAAGCATGTGGAGACTGAATTCTGAATGTCTTTTTTCAATCGAATCATCTAATCTAATCATTGCCTCTTTAAAAAAGAGCAGACTAATTAAAGAAAACACATGTCCAGAATGAGTTTGATATTTCAATCAATCATTGAAATTCACGTTTGTTTGTGATAACAGAATCTAAGGCCACCAGTTTGTTCCATCACCAAATTTTAGCTGAATTTAAGGAGTTTATTATTCCAACGACTTGATAGGAAAGAGAGTGATAAAAATTAGGTTAAGAAATACACTCCTCTGCGACCCTGTGAACAAAAAACCAAAATATTCCTACTGAGAAAGTAATAAAAGAATACTTTTGAAAGTGCTTAGAGGGTCATTTTTTAAGATCATAATTCAGGGTAAAATTATATCGTATTTACATCAAATTAGTATGCTTCTAGAAATAAAGATTTCATGTATCGACATGGATGAATTTCTAGACAACTATTTGCCAACATTTTTCAACATAATGAGCCATATTTGAATGCAGTTCGAGACTCTTTCAAAAATCGGAACAAACCGAGTTTCTTAAAGTACATTCTATCCAAAGGTTCAGATAGTTTAAGATAAAGTCGTTAGAAACTCCTCGACTAGATATATAGTAAGTGACATTGTTTTCTTATTTTAAAATGACTAGTGAAAAACGAATATATAAGGGCAACCTGCATATTCCAAATATGGGTTCACGAAATCTAATTAAAAATCATGTACTATATTAGTTGATGAATGTTTTTAAACATTATTTATTTTGGTCATATTTTAGAGACGTTGCCGACTATTTCGGTGGACCGATGACACGAGAAGATGCCTACGGTTCAATAGATTGGCAAAAGATCACAAAGTATCGTTGTCACTTCAACACAAATGTTGTTCCGATCGGTCTCCCAGATAGTGCTGGCTATCGTCATCGAGCTCTGCTTTTCAAGGTACGAGTTTATTTTAGTCATTTGCGCGTATACTTTTAGTTCGTTGCTGACAAAGTGGGAATAGCATGCAGATGTGTTTGTGGGGAATATCAAATTGCCTACAACGCAATTAATATTCAGGTAATTTCTTAGAGTCATGTGCGAGAATAGCATTATAAAAATGTTATGCTAATTTTTTCTTTTAGAATGAATTGACCTTTGTTGTGAATTTAATGGAAAATCCTGGTGAAATTTATCCAGCTGATTCAAAAGAGGCAAATAATTATTGTAGAATTTAACAATCCAGCACAATGATTCACTAATACGATAACACTTAAAATTCTATTTACAATTAATGAGTTAAATTTAATGCCTTAATGTTTAATTACGGATATTATTACAATATTGTGGAAATTATGTCGTAGTGTCTAACAGGGTCTTCAATTTCTTGAGCATAGTTTAATAGCAGATTCAAAAATGTAATCAATCTCAGTAAAGAATGCATACCTTGAAGACTAAATTGATGCAAAAGGGGCATAAATTTTCATGTTGGAGTTTAATATGCACCTGCTTTGTGGTGACCAAGCGTAAAAGGCAACGGATCCAGATTTGCCAGATTTTTTACCCATCTGTGGGACATGTCATCGCATGCCTGGACGCCAGGATTGGGAGGTGCGACCGTATAAACAGTGACCAATCATCAACCTCTGTTTGTTTAACCTAATCCCCCATCCTGATCATGATTAAGTTACCGGCGTGATCACAGTGCACCTTCGGTATCTAGTGGATAAACGTATCGGTTGTACGTCTCTGCTTCTCTAGACCCGGTAATTGGGGGAATCTATCACAAAGGTTTCTGAGACTTAAGCCAGGCTTTACTAACGTAGAAATCCGCTACACATCGATACGTGAACAGAACAAAAAGAAAAGCACAGTAACAGAAAGCGAACAATAAATTTGGCATAATTTGGTTTGAATGAGTTTTAAAATACTCTCCAATGGTATACGAAAGATTGCAAAAAAATTACAAAGAATAACATTTCAGAGCATTTATTATTTAATCTGGCCTAGCGATCACCGAGGAAAGATTAGAGTATTAAAAATAATTAAAGCGAGTCAAAATATTAGATTGACCTGGTTAGCCAAAATACATTAAAAGGAAATATCCTAACTTCACCTTAATTAATAAGTTCAAGTCAGCACCTTTGCAACTGAAGATTAGAGTTTCAAAAGTAGTTGAACTAATGTCAAATATATGTTGACTAAGCCAAAATATCAGCATGTACCACATGTTTTAATCATCAGACTGTACAATCTGATTTAATTTTATAATGAAATGAAATTCGATTGAATAAAGATATCCTGATGAAAGTGGACATTAAAAAGTGAAAATAAAGAAGATTATACGGAGGTAGCTTTGGCGTAGATGCCATTCTAGCATTTCTTTATTTGAACAAGTTCAGGCTCTCTATGGTAGATTTTAATGCTAAAAGCATGTAATCGACAAACGAGACACAGTCTATCTTTTCTGAAAATGGTTAAGGTGAGAAGATAAATTATTATGAGAACTAAATTGGGATAAGAAATAAAGAAATGGAAAGTAGATAGCAAATTAAAGGGCACGAGGGGTGATATTATATTTCAAATAGCAGGCTGACTTCGGGTACCACAGAGGGGAAGAACATCAAAGTGAGAATAGTCGAGAAGGAAAACAGAAGTGTAATTCACAGATACAAAAGAGACAGACAAACGAAGAGAAAAGGGAAGTTGAGAATTGTGGAAGTGGTTGAACATGACATACTGTCGTGTCATAGTAGTTTGAAGTCAACTGTCAGTCTATAGACCCTTTTGTCATATGAGTATAGGCCACCCAGGGTGCCCCACGTGGAGATAAGTCTACCTCACACCCCTTCGAGAGGTGATATCATATAGGCGAAATGGTAGAAGGAAAAAATTCAGTTTCCACAGTAATAAATAATAAACTTAATAGGAATAAACCTGATGTTAAACGTCCCCACCAAAATCTTCGTTTTGCGTTGTTTTTGTTCCAGCAAAATGATTTATATTCGCCCATGATTCTATTCTTGTAGACGAAATAATTGTCTCAATTAACGCAAAACTGTGTTACAATACGAAGCATCCAAAATCGCTATTTTACTGAAAATTTAAGACTATTGGTAAAAACTTTGTACAAAATATTATCAGATTATCATAATGGCTTTTTGATTCTACAAAACTACAAGGCTTTCAACGTTTCCCACAACTCATATATACGTCATATCGAAAGGATTGTAAAGAAAAAGGAATATATCCGTGAATAAAAGTTTCATTTTTACGACATATATACAATTCTGATTTAAATGTACCTATTATTCTAAAGAAAGTTTTATACTATTTTTTTGCCTTAGACGGAAGTTCACCGAGAAATCGATCGGTTTTAATATTAAATCTAAATCAATGATATGAATAATCTTATGTTAATTGGCCAAACATTCGAAGGACTAAAATAAATTATATTTTATTAATGAAAAATAAATATGATTGTGCAAACTAAAAAGCAATAATGAAATAAAACGTTTAAACAGACAAGTACTAATGGTGCATAAATTGGATGTGTATCCTAGAAAAATTGTTAACAAGTAGAATAAAACAGTATTTTCGTTAAGCGGTCAAATATAGATATCTAAGCTACGAAGATTTACCACGTCTTCTTTCTTATTTTCTTGATCTGTTTTTAAGCAAGTGTCTTGATACGTGATAATTATTACCTGACCTTAATTGGAAAATAAAACATTCTTCAATTGGAATTTTATTTTGACTGTCTTAAATATGGAGCTGTTTGAAATGGGGATAGGTCTAGTCAGAGATGAATCTGATTTCATCAAACATGTATGCCATCGCTTCTGTGTTACTCCTTCGGACGTTCATGAAAAACTAACAGCGGACTGTGTTGCGGAGAATTTCGATTCTCCACTATGTCGAGGGATTAAGTCATTATTTCGATACGATTGCCTATGTGGCTCTACAGAAAATCCATCGAAACTCTCGAATCAATATTTGTTTACCAAATTATTCGCTCACCTGATTGCTGGCCCGATGGGAATTGACGAATTATCGCGTGCCTGTAATCTGATATATTATTTCTCTGATCGTTTTTTTAGTGAAAAATTTCGACTATTCAGATCGCTGCAGTTTGGTATGGATTGGCGACTACTTTGCCTATCGTTGTCGAACATGTGGACTTACTCCTAGTATGTCACTCTGTGGAGTTTGCTTCAATGCTGGAAATCATGAAAACCACGACTTCAATAAATTTAAAAGCACTTGTGGTGGGGCCTGCGATTGCGGCGATCCATCCGTTATAAAACCATCTGGGTGAGTTCTTTGAAATTATTCTCATACTTCTCTCATCTTATCTTAAGTTCATTGGTTACCAACTTAGTTTCATTTAATACTCTTGTCGAATTGTGCGATTTAGGCCTGTTGTTTGAGTAGAAAATATTTTCTAGAGAATTTGGATTTGCCCACATTTAATAGTTTATACCTTATTTTTGTGTGTTAATTAGTTTCTACTAGTTCATCTATTAATTATTCCCTTTCCATTTATTTCATTGAATGTGTATTTCATTTTTCCTTATTTCTATGTGAATGGGAGGTAACTTTCTGGTATTGTCTTCTCAATAGTCGATTCTTTAATGGCTTAGTATTGATTTATCAATGATACAAGAGGATATTTTTCAACACTACATTTTTAAATTAGAAAACTGAAATTTGAATATGAGTTTTCAAACTTATAGGATTAATGCACATGTGACTATCTTTAATTTTGTGCCTATGTACTTGAATTGCATTCTTTCCTTACATGCTTTTATTTGGTTTTGTAATTTGTCTCGGGCATATTACCTAATAATTTGCGGTTTTTTAAGAACGTAATACTGAATACAAATGTCTTTTTATACTAGTTTTACTAACAATTCCTTAGAATATGTGCTTTAGAAACTGTGTACGTTTATGTGATTATGAAGCAGTGTCTATTTCATCGGCGTTATTTTTTAAGACTTTCATTACATTTGATTTGTTCAGAAATTGTCGTTTTCATGGACCGGATAAAGTTGCCAACAGGCCATGCCCACCTAGGAAATTAATTGCTGCATTACAATTCCTTCTTCCAAGTGTTATAAAGGCTCTGATGTACTGGTTTTGGGATCAGTGCAAATCAGTGGAGCCCTCTTTGAATGAACATGAAGCCCCAATGCTCTTCTTCCTTCACCGTCTTCATGCTTGCGGTTGGTTCACTCAGCAATTAATGGTCAACGCCATGATTGACCCCAAGCTCTTTACAGAACTAATCACAGGTATGTTTCGAAATTTGGTTTTCGTCCTGTTTTACTATCGTTTTTTCCCTTACAGATTGCTCTGCTACTCCTGCTTATCGTTCGTACAAAGCTAGTATTGCCACCAGACACAAGACTAATGCCCAAGGTAGGTTATTTCTGTTTGTTTATAATCCCTTCATACTTTATTTACAATATTGTTTTGACTATCGTCTCTTTTAGGATCTGAACGAAATTTGTCAATCAAAGAGCTGAAACACAGGACACTTCTTGAATCCTTCCTTTACACAATCGTCAAACTTCGCTTTCCTGAAAGTTTGAGTACTCTTCTAATTGGTCTCCTTCCTATTAGCGAGTTTAAAAAAATGTTTATCGATGCGTACGTGGACCATTATGAGACAATAGCATCTACTCTTATGATTTCTTCACGTGTCAGGAATATTTCTCCAGAAGTCGCCATGCAATTAAACAATCGGATTGTGCACATCTCAGTCCAGTTATTTAGTGGAGTTGATCATGCTCTTCGCATGGTTAAAGAAAAGAGACTGCATGATATAATTGTTAAATGGATGAAGAATATGTTTACCACAAGTCGTACAGTTAGTTTTTCTTCGTCTTTCTTTCTTATCTGAGCTCTTAAACTAAGTTAATTAAAACATATTCCTTTTTCTAGCGCTTGGATGATCGTGGAAAGATGGTAGTGAATTGCGATGGTGTTCTCATTCAAAACAATGCCTTCTGGCCATTGACGTCGGATTTAAGTAATATTGTCTCTCATAAAGTTGTTGCGGATGTTTTCGTCGAAGATATGAATTTCTTGACCAGTTGGACTGATATTCTCAAACTCATGCAGGTTAGTCTAAATAAACCTCTATTTCATTATTTTCATCTCACCTTTTTTGAGTTGTCCTTTTCCATTTTTCTTCTCTTTTTAGTTTATGAATTGTTTTTCACTGAAAGAGGGTAGCCACATTGAATACGAAACAATGGCATGCTATCACGGTTTGACGATGGAAATTGAAGTTAGCATCGGTATTATGTGGTACTTGTGGGAGCATTACAAGTCCTCGGTAAGTCTTATGACTATTTTAATCAATGCTTACATGCATTTTCATGATTATCTTTTCATATATAGATGTTATTTACATGCTTTTAGTCCGCAAGATACTTTTTAGCTGTTTCCAAAATTCGGAGCCTAATGCATTGGGCTTCATTATTTATCTCTATTCATGATATCAATCTCCCGTTGTAAGATCTTATCCCTATCTTAGATCTTTCAGGTAATCCATTGAAATCTCCTCGTCAAAAATAGATAGCCAAAATTTTCTAGGTGATTTAGTGTATTGAATATGGATAATTTTTTTAATTCACACATCTCACTTATTGGAATGTATAAGTATTTTCTTCATTTCACTCACTGTTGATGTATTTGTGCAAGAGTTTTGCTGTAAATTTCGGACAGTGGTAAAGGAATCATGTAAGAACCGGCACAAGTTTACTTGAAATCGCGGTTTGAGATTAATAAGGCAATTCTGGTGGATTGAATGATAAAGTGCACTAGGTGGTACTTATCGAAGAGGTTCCCCTCTTAAATACTCTTTCTCTATGCCCCTTAGCCGCATTGGGCATTAAAATCATAAAAAGAATGAATGATAAAGCGTACCTGCTTGGATATAATTTTGTGGTAATTAATTAATATCATGCCGGTGACTTCTGTTATAATGACTCGTAGTTATTACGAAGTAAGTATTATCTGCTGTAACTATGTTAGCCACAGTTTATTTCATTAGCACATTTTATTTTGAGGCACCATTCAAGTGGCTGGTTTATCATAGGTACTAGATTGAGGAAATACGATTTGCTTTTAATGGTATACTCATTAGTTGTTTGCTCTAGTTGGAACAAGAAATAAGTAAATGTTCTCTCTCTCTCTCTCAAATCAGTATTAATCTTTTCGAGGATCACTAGAGCGTATCTAGTACTTTGTGACAACAATCGATTGCAGCATCACAAAATAAAAGGGTTTTGAGAATTATAGTTACTACTTGTTTAGCTATTGCGCGAGTTTCCACTTAATTGACCTACATCAAATGAGTGTCAACATGTGCTAATGGCTTGACGATTACTTTGCACTTCTACAATTTCATAGCTAAATGTGTTTCGATACTCTTCCAAGGTTAAAAAATACTACTAAAAGTTGTATAGATGACTTTATGGTTTTATGATATTATGTTTCTGTACAAGATTAGCATTTAAACATTTTGGCATTAATAAGTGGAAAAATTTCCCTCTTAGACAGAGAAAGAACATTGTCTCATGTATACCCGAGCGTGTGTTGAGTCATTGGCTCATCATTTGACCTATCTGGGTCGTTTGGTGCCCACTGCCACTCAATGGGCGCATCCCATTCGCGGACCACTCAGCCTCCACCTACCACTTAGTCGTCATGCTGCCTGTTTCCTAAGTCTTGCAATCTTCACACATCACACCAACTTGAAGGATGTCATGGACCCTTTCCTCTCTCGTAGTCCCAATGCTCTCAGACGTCTTATGGAGGAATTGGCCAATGTACTAGTAAGTCTAACCCATCCATGATTTTATCAAGATGTTTCCTTATTCGCATAGACCTGAGTGCTTCTACTTGAGGTGGGGGTGGTATATAACCTAGAGGTATTGAGTCTCTGAGTAGTCTATTTTTAACTTGCTATCCACTTCTCTCATTTATAGTTTTCAACACTCAACTGTAATGCAAAAGATTATTTGAGGATGACCAACAACAGTTCAAGGGAAAAATCTTGAGTTTTAGCGTTTTTAAGAATCTAGAGATTTGTATTTAAGCATAGGTGAAAATAACTAATTGATCAAAATAATTAAGTTTCAAAAATTTGATTGCACACTAAGGTGGAAAACCGGGATTTATGTGTCTCCTAGAGACAATTTTTTCAATCTCATGTTTGGCGTTAATTAACCTTTTAAGTTCTTAGAGCCTCTTTTTATAGTTGACATTTGATTATTGACTATTGCAATATGGTTTACGATGCCAGAAGGCGTTTACTTCATTTCCAGATTTAATTTTATTTTATGCAATTCTGATTTATTGTGTAAGCTGATTTCAGCTTCACATACTATCACTAGATAAGTGTTTCTGGAAGTTTTCATCGCTTTTAAACAGCCATAATTTTAAATTTTTGGGGATTATTTCTCCATCTTTTATTATCTATTTGTAAAGTAATCTCTCACCATTATGGTTTGTCTACTAAGCTAACAGAGGACATGAATTCAATTTATTTATTTGTTTTCGTCTTTATTCATCTTGACTTTCGTGTTAGCTTTATAGCTATATTATGCAACTAATAAGATTCTTTCTATAATGTTTAAGAAAGATGGGAGGTTATTGATATTTATATAACAATTCCTTATTGTTGTGCCTTTTATAGTTATGGAGTTTTCTTGAAAGTAAATAGAATGCTAAAGCTACTAACCGTCTTGCAACAAAAAACCGACTTGTATACTCCAGGTCATAAGAATCTTCTCGTCTACTTTGTATTTAAAGTTTTTAAGGTAGGCTATATAAATGACTAATGATAAGTTCACTTCAATGGAATAACTATTGACTAATAGGTGGGTACATTGGAAAAGTGTTTTTGTCATCTGACTCAAAATTAGTAATATTTTTTTATATAAACGTTAACAGATGTAGATATCTTGTAATTTACCAAGTTTTCCATAGTTAATCGATATTTCAAATCTAGTTTACACTTGAAGTTCATTTTTTGAATGGGCTTTTTCTGAAATGCTAGGTGTCTACTTTCTCTCTCTGATTCATACATATAGCGTCTCTTCGAAAATGGCTTCCTCCTCTTTTCACCCTACACTTATTTTTTTTCTTCAAATTTTAGCTGGGTTGTCAGGAGGTAATCATCGGTTACTGGGTTAGAAATGGCCAATCTGTTCGGCAGTTAGTCACCCACTATATGCACAGCCAAATGTGCTACTCTATGATTGACTTGGACATCTTCCTCTTTCAAGTGAGTTTCACGTTACACATTACACATTTATATTTTCGTACATTTTGCTGTGCTTGCATTTAAAATCTAAGGCAACAGCTACCTTTTACTACTTTCTCCATTGGAAATAGTCACAGAAACGTTTTGTTTTCTATTTTGACCTTGAATTAAACTGTGGATCTGGACCTTTTCAACACGGGACAATGCAGTATAATGAATATGCTTTTATTTTCTCAGATGACAGTCCTTGACCAAACCGGTTCAAAAATGGCATTTCTGTACAGGCTTCTTTTATTAACTAGGAAGACATTGAAATCGAATGGGTCCCTACCCTAGAAAGTGGCACAAAATAAATTATTGTCCTTTCCAAATGTATGAACTCGACTACCAAAGACAGTGGGTGGCTGAATTTTTTAGGAAGAATATTGAAAGTAATAAATTTAGAACCAATTAGTGGGAAATCACTTTTGTGGTTGGCGTCCATTGAATGCAATTCAACCGGTGTCGCATGAATTGTTAACTCGTTGTTGCATATTCCTATTATTATGGTCAACAATCATTCACACCATCAATTATTAGTCGTGGGAAGGAATTGACGCATGTTAACCGAAAATCTACGAGTCCATCTGGATAGAGAGAGAGAGGGGATCTGGAAGATATAGAGTAACGCCAATATATCAAAGAGTCAAAATGGAAATCTAGTGAATCCTTCCTTGTATTGTATCAAATGCCTATTTATGATGCTTAATGCTTATTTAACTGCTTTATTGTGGTGATGGTCTTGCCATTTTAATTCTCATTTTCATTGGAGTATTTAAGAGGGTGGAATAATGTTATTTAACATTTATCAGCTTACAGCCTTAGCATAGCAGAGATGAGTTAGCTGAAAATTGCAGGTTATTAGAGCTCCGTAATTTTTTTTACATAATCAAGTTTTAATGCTACGGTGAGACGAATTCTCTTTGTTCATCCACTCGGCCAAACTTGTGTAATATGAAATATTTTGCTACGATGATCCAAACTTGCAAAACTAAGACAATATTACAAGCCTCCATTGAATGGAATGATGGATTAGAATTGAGATGATGGGACTGATTATTTCCCTCCTTAGTTTATTCGTATTTATAATTAATTTTTTACCACGGGATTGATGTTTGTAGTGATTCGTCATAGTGTGGAGTTTGGGTCTCGCCTTCGCATTTTCCTTTCATCACTTATATTTGACGAATTTTTTTCTTAATAGGTCTGCGCTGCTCTCATGCATCCAGTTTACATTCTCAATTCTCTGGTTGATCAGGCACGTCTTCTGCAAAACTTCTGTTTTCATCGGGAATTGTTGGGTCTGATCAAGTCACCGGGATCGAGGCCAGGAGTAGTTGTCGATCGCCAGCCGTTGGCTATTGAAGCATGGCTCACGAATCTCTGTTGGATACTCGATCTTCGAAATAATCTAGGTCTTTCTGAGACTGGTCTTATTGAAAAAGAGTTGATCTGCTTCCTAGCGCATAGTACTCGAAAGCGAAGTGATCTCTCATCTCTGCTTCCCGATCGTTGCATGCCCCAGAACACGGATATTATTGACGAGTGTCTAAATCGGGTTGCCACCTATGTCGCACCCTCTTGCGATAGTGCATCCGGTTCCCTTATCAGTGGAAGCTACTCACTCAAACCGGAGTTATGGGATGAGAAGTTTGATCCGGTCTTCTTCACTCTTCGAATGGCTAGCAAGAAGGAACAGACTTCAGCCATGGAGAAATATCGACCTCAGTAATTGTTTTTGCCAACTAAGGACTACTATTTTATTATTACTTTTTTGTGTTTTTTTTCTTCTACTTTGGCTATAATTATAGAATGTCGCACGACTTTATCATATAAATATCTGTCGTCTCCACCGTTTTAATTAGCTCTTACAAGGTAAAATACTGCTCTTCTGAAAGTATATTTAGTTTTTGCATGAATTTTATCATTTTCTATTAGAACTAACTTGAAGGGCTAATAAGAAATAAGATTATCAAGTGTGCTAATTGTTCCGATCATTAGTAAGTTTAAGAACGCTTGAACTTTAGGTAAAAGTTATTGCTATGTTTTATTGTTATTTATTTTAAGGAGCACTCTCTGAATAATCCTTTTTATTATAGACTTTTTTGCCTTATTCACTTGGTATTTGGTAACTTTTAACTTAGACCAATTGTACTCTCTTTGTGTTATTATTTCTTTACAGTTGTCGACAAAGGACTGGCATTCAGAATACTTCTTCATTTTGGCCCCCATACCGCCTTCCCCTTGAGCTCTCGCCAGATTTTGCCGATTTGGAAAATGTTCTTCATAGTCGGCATTTCCACTATCTCCTCTTTTCTCTCCTCAGTTTGGTATGTTTGTTTGTCTCTATATTTTGAAGTGTTTTGATTCTCTCACCTTAAGCAAATACGCGTTCAGCTTTTCTGTGATAGCAAATCAAATTTAAATTTTAGCCTTGTATAAAATGATTGAAGGTTCAAGGGCTTTTGGCTTTCAGGATACTAATACTTGAAAGTTTCACATTCTTTTTCCAAATCTTTTCATTGAAAACATCCCTAAATAAATCATTTTCTCTAATATTATCCCATTATATTGTTTTGATTTGTTTCGCTATTCAGTTTGACCAATTATTATTCCTTTTCGATGCGATAAAGCATGTTCTGAGTTGACTTACTGCATTTACGTAATGGCTCTCTTTTTCAATATTGTCTTTTACTTGGCAGATCCAATTTTCCTTTTGTACCAGTATTGTCAAAATAAAATCAAGTTGGCTAGTGCCATTTTAGCCAAGGTAGGAAAGTGTTGAGGTGGTATGAGAGCTTTTCGTATTGCTCAACATGCTAATCATCATTAGACATTGGAAAAATAGAAAAGGAAAAGTCATATTATTCGAATTGTGAAATATATTTAAAGTAAATAATATTTGTCGATTCTTGTCCTCTTTGGCTATAATACCCGATTTCCGTAACTTTTCCACTGTAGGTGTCAATTTTTTGCCTTATTATAAATTAGTGAATGGTCAGTTGAATGCTTATAAACAATGGTGCTTCCAATCGAATGATATACACAAATCGCCAATTTTAAAATAACTTATCCTAATCTATTTTTCCTTCAGTTTGTGTACGGTGATCCTCTGGTGCCTGAGGAAAGTCTCGTTATGGTTATACATCTTCTCTACAGAGCTGTTGTTGCTGGAGGCTTGCTTCTCACACAAGGCAGGGTACATTTTATTTGACTTAACATTTATGGACTAAGTTCAATTATCTGTCCTACCCATCTCGATTTATCTCAGGATTCCAATCGTCTGGCGGTTGAAATCGAGCCCACAATGCCCTGTTTTGATCCAATTCAATGCACAGAAGCTGTGATGGCTGCTACCAATAGAGAAGCGGAACTCGAAGCCATGCAGTTTGCTGATGCAGATTCTGACAATGAAGAGGTATTAGAGGAATTCGTTGAGCACGATGTAACGCAGGATGCGTATTTTGAAGAAATGGGTGAAGATGAATTGGATGAGACTATGGAGGGCAATGATCCCCAAGCCCCAAGTAGCCGTGGTACAGAAGCTATGGAAGTTGAGGAACCTGTGATTTCAGCTACTAGTACTTCATCTCTCCGTCGAGTCAATGCCTTCCGCTTGCGTAAACCCTCAAACATCCCTCTCAAGTGGGACCTTAGCATTGTTGCCTGCCCTTTTCCTATTCCCACCACTCTGTCCACTATCTTCCAGAACCTACCCACTTGGCTTGGAACCACTCCACAGACTGTCTCTCCCGTTGAATTGGAAACGAAAACATCTATCAATGGAAACGAATATAAAATCCCTGCGAGAAACGATTCAATGTAAGTTGAGATTATTCACAATTTAGCTTGCTGATTGCGATTTTGCTTCTTGTTTACAGTGTGATGGTAGACAGTTTGCTCTCGTTATTGGTTAAATCTCATGCTCGCCTCTTCTTGAACCGAGCTTCAATATCCACGACAGACCAACAGGGTCAACAATCTAAAGCGCCTAGTGCACAGGATACCTCCTTCCTTCAACTTCCTTCTATATCAGATGAAAAGAAACCTTCTAATTGCGATCTTACTGCTCGTTGTATGGCTGTTCTCAATTCCACAGGCTTGGAGGAAACACCTGATGGAACGCCAAGAATTTCTTCTCTCGCTCGTGCAATTCAAGCTGATGCGTCTGATGGCACTCCTGATGAGAAAATGGTGAAAGTACTTGCAGAAATGCCACCTGAGTTACGTTATTTTGCTGTCTCTCCACCTGCCTATAAGCTTCCTGGCGATAGATCTACAAAAACGACTTTTGAACAGCCATCAACTAGCATGAGTGATTGTAAACCTAGCGTAGATTGTGGTGATGGAGTCTTCTGGATAGGCCGACTATTAGACAAGATTGTTGAAAGCTCTCCTGAATGTGAGGAGGAATTGAGAGTCTATATTGAAAGAGCCAATGATCCTTTTGACTTGGCTAAACAGCCAGAGAGAACGAGTTCAGAAGAAGCAAATAGCTCTTTACTTCCCTCAAACCTCCAGGGTAATGCTAGAACACGCGCTCAACGTAAGAGGGCAGCTTCAGAGAGGCGAAAAAAATTGATGGATATGATGGCCTCCAAACAGCGGGCGTTTGCGGAAAACTTTCTCAAGGATATGGATATGGATAAGGTTGATGATGAGACTAGTGAGAATTTGACCTCACAGGTGGAATGCGAATATAACTGTGTCATTTGCCAAACCAAACCGGAGACACCTCAGCCCATGGTCTTGCTTGTCATGCTTTGCGAGTCTGGATGTAAGTTATTGCTGTGCTTCCCAACGGCTTTGAGTTATTTATTTTACTAATTCATCGATTTAATTTCAATTTATCTTCTTTTCGAGGCAAAGTGGTTGAGTTTATAACCACCCTCCAGGTTTTACTGCTAGTTGTTTAGTACTATGGACAACCTAGGAGCAATAGAAAGCTCTAATCCTGTGCCAGGGACCTTTCCAATCTGGCATATTGGGCATTCTCTGTTCACTACATTGACTTTCATGACTTTAACTTCACACGAGCTTTCTTCGGCACTTAGTATTTCACTTTTAAAGAGATATGACATTGTTTTTTTTTCAAGGTGATTCAGAGATAAAGGGAAGGCCTTTTTTAATTCTTCTTATTGGCTAAAGAGTACTCTAAGCACGGGTGAGTTTAATTTGAGACAGCTTTAAGACCATGAAGAAAAGTAAATCCTGCTCTCGTATATTTGATAGATGTTTAGAAGAACGATTCATGCCATATTTGATTTAAGATTATTAAATACTCATGAATTTTCCCCTCTAAAAAGTCATACAAGAAATGCGCAACTACTCCAACCTCCCTCGTTTAAGTAATGAGCGAATGACCTACAGCCGAGGTTACCTCTGTGAGGACTCCTGCATCCCCAAACCCCTTCCCATTTTGCCACCAGAACTGCGTCCGCAGTCGTCAGACAATGAGAGCAACCTTCCTAATCGTCAAGTGCAGACCAGTGTGGATTCTGATCATCTCCAAACAACCTCTTGTGGCGCTGCTCCTTCCCCATCGCTGCTCCTCATTACACCACCACCAGCAGTTCGTATCTCCGACACTATCATCATTCCATCGAGCGCCATCCCCAATGTATCGACCTCCAATGAACCGCCTCGGGGTGATGTTCTTGATCCTGTGGTCTACGTCGAGAAGCGCCGCTGGTGGCATCTTGCTCTCCCCAATGAGCTTGTCGTTTCTCTGCCCCTTCTTAGATCTGGTGTCATTTTACAGACTTGTGGACATGCAGTTCATCGGGATTGCTTCCAGAATTATCGAGCTCAGGTGAGGGAAAGGCTTTCAAGTAATGCTTAGTTGTATGCTCTAAGTAACTGGAAATTGTGCCGAAGGCAGTGGTGATCTGCTGTGCATACACTGACTCATACCTCTGCATATCTGTTCGCTCCTTGATAGACGTAGTACTTGAGATCATATCACATCCCTTATCTCATTAGCTTTTCTCTATAACAGCTTGCTTTTATTTCATGCATTATTGTGGCTTCATACCTTTCTTTCAGATTTCCAAATTCTATTTCTTAATCTATACGTCATAATTTATTTCTATTTGTCTGGTTACGAGTTTATTATAAAGATAGGTATAAGATGAGCAAAAGTTTATTGACTTTTTATTTGAATTCCTACTTTACGCATTTTTTCGTCTTATTTGTTAAGAGAAATAGTTTGTTCATAATGGGGGCTTGAAACCATCTATCAAATCGTGCGCTTATGTCTTTATTATCTTCAGCACCTATTGTGCTATAGTGGTTATTACACTTATATTTGATGCCAGAGGTCATGGGTTAACGACACTCACTTTATGCTCTGAGTAGAACTGCCATAAACAATGGTTATTTCTAATCAACCAGCTTCGTGAATTATAAAATTAGTGCAGAAAAATGCCTTTCTATGTTTGCTCGAGTGTCATCTTTTCTCATTATTTAGATGCTCGTATAAAAATATCCACTATGTCTAAGAAATCCATGTGTTGGTTTTCTCCCTTTTTACATTACAGAGTATGCGCCACGGAGGTGGAGCAATGTCCCGCTGGATGGCCTCTTGCCCACTCTGTCGTCGTGATGTCCACTTCCTCCTACCCCTACACGCCGACTATGAGCCAGATAATCCTTCCTATCACACACCTCCTCCACCCTTATCAACTCCACTACATACCTCAACTCCCGAGGTCGCTACCTCTGCTCCTACTGAAATCGCTGCTGTCACAACTGTTCCTATGGAACAATCAGACCTCCCAGTGGCCGATACACAACCGAAAACGTTCATATCTATCCTCCGCAAGAGACTGGTATTTTAAACAGAATTTTCGGGCCTTGTCATAGCTTAACTGGGAACTCTTTTAATGATAATTTGTATCTCTTTCAGGAGGGATTACCACCGGAACCACACAGTATCTGGAGTAATTTGATCGGAGGAACGGAGGAAGATCCGCAGCAACGATTTAGATTGGTTGCTGGTCTTATTTCGGGTGTTAGTGAAGTCGCTATTATTCTTCGGTAAATCTTATTCAAAATAGGAATATATATGTCTTTTATAAAAAGCGTATAGGGATGTAACGTTATATTTTTCTACATTTTTTTGTACTAGGTCACAATTCGAATCGGAATTGTCGGTTCTTATGGTGTATCCGAATCTTTATCGCAATATCGCCCGTCGTTGCCTATTCCGTAAGTTTACGATTTAATTGTCAAGCTGTTCGCTCTTTTACTCCTACTAATGTAGAATTCTTTTCTCTGTTTTGCCTAATTAGGTGAAACCATGAATTATCTGCGCCATGTCTATTCTTCTCCATCTGATATCCTTTCCCTTGTGGACTCCCTCTCTCCCAGCTCCCTTCCTACCGCCGTCCCAATTTCTAGGTACTTGTTTATGATCAAAATTTTCTTTTTTTTATTGTGGATTAGCTTTAACTACGTTTTTGTGTCTTACTAACATATTCGTGATATTATGAGCCTTTATGTTTTAGTTCAGCTATAGTAGGTTTCTCGAGTCACAATATCGAGAGGTTAAGGTAGCACTGATTCCAATAGCAAGTCTACTTCAATAGTTAGGCTCGTAGCTATCGACTTAAAGGATGCAACAGCCTTTTCCCAAAATCTGTAGAATAATAAATGGTCTACCTTTTAGGAAGGAGTGGTAGATAGGGTAGTAGAACGGCCAAGTTGAAGATAAGTAAGCAGTATGCGTGAAAGTGAAGCGATTGAACTATTTGAAATATATAGCTAGTCAATTGTGCTAGTTGAATTAAACGTAGCTCTGTGTCCTTATGTTTGCACTGCATGGTCTTTATCTGAGCTTTCTTTTTGCATCATTATTCTTTATGCAAATTTTATAAGGATGGGACAACTTAGGCTATCTCTTTAGACATGGCTGTTGTTGGCCAGGCTCAGTGACGGTAATTCAAACGACGGTTGCATTTCACTTTATGAAGAAAATGAACTTGCTCATACAGATTTGTAAAAGACATAAGTGTTTGTCTGTTTGATTAGGTAATTATTACAGTGGTAATGAAATTACATATCCGGGAACGATTATGGAAACCTAATAATTGATAACTTAGTATACCAGGGATTGACCTCAGTGCCAGCGAAGCTATTGGTTTCCGATTCTCGTCGCAATTATCTTACCAAACTCCCTTTGGTCAATTCTTCACTTTGCCTGTGCTCCTGCTTCAAGCGGCTTCCTAACACTTTTTAATTCCATAAAATCCAGAGAGCCAATTATTCCCCGAAATTTTCCATTTATCATTTTCACTAATGGTTTATTTTTAATTTTAGCTCCAACATCCCCCAGAATTTCGCTATTTTTAATGACCCTGTTGATGTCCTCATGATCCTTCTGCCCCACGTCTGGCCTGACGAAGGTATGTAAAGTGTATTTTCCACTGGTTTTTATTCTTGCAAATATTCCCTTTTACGTGGGTGAGTCAAAAAGTTCTCCGGAAAATGCCATACATTTAAATGACACAAAGATTTGCAAGTTTTTTTTACAAGTTCAAGCATGTCTTTAGAGCTTCCTTAATAGCATACAACTGCCCGATCATTCTATGTAAGGTTAGGATCAAGCAGAAAGTAGTTTCCAACTAAACTGAACTGGAAACCTGTTCAGCTCATAGAAGCTTTAGAACACTTTTATGGGATTTTGCACCACGTAGAGCAATCATTTACGATTGGATTAAAGGCTTTAAGGGGTAAAGAGTGCAAGTCGATTATGACCCACGAGGAGGAAGGATAGAAACCCACCACAGCAAGAAATCAAGAAAGCATCTCTCTTGTGCAGAAACTAGTGCAACATGATCGACGAGTTACCCTTGGAGAATTGCAAATGAAGTAGAAATCGCACATGGATCAACATTTTCAAATCTCACTGAAAATCTTGGCTCGAGCAAGCTCTCAGTGGGCACGGTGAGTTCCAAAAGTGTTGCAGGAACAACAACTGGTCAAAAGAGATGAATTTTCCTTAGCAACTTTGGCAAAGGTGGAAGCAAATGAGGATAATCTATTTAAGCACTGTGTTGCCGGAGATGAAACCTCGATCTGACAATTTGATGAAGGAAACTAAATTCAATCCAACGAGTGACATCCAATGGGAATATGTGGGCCTGTCAAGTCGAAAGCTAAAAGATCCGTTAAGGAAGTCATGAACGCTATTTTTGGGATTCAAAGGGAGTGATACGTATTGATACTCTCTCAAAGGGCAGAAAACGGTTACTTCAAGTTATTAAGAAGACATTTTGACGAGGAAGTTGAAGAAATCCTTCGCGCCAAAAATGTGACACAAGAAACTGCAATGTCAAATTTTGTTTCTTCATGACAATGTCTCGGCACATTCTTCAAGAACTGTCAGGTCCCTGTTGAGATAATTTCGATTGGAGACGCTTCTACTTCCTTCTTATAGTCTAGACAGCTCCCTCAGACTTTTCCAAAATATAGATTACAAAAGCGCGTAAATAAAAATGAAGCCTATGTGTCAAAATGAGTGTACTCACATATGGAATATGAAATGCTTTGCATTATTCTTCAGTGCACTAGAAGGTTTTTTTCTGTCTTTTAAGAGGCCTATCTAATTATTCTTATCTCTCTTTGTTACGACAATTTGGAATGATTATAAATGCCTATCTCATCGCATTTTAAATATAAAAGATAAGTTCACCTCTATGTTCTTAAAATTGCATACAGTAAAGGACAGCGACTTACTTGGCGTATAATCTACTCACTAGGGTAATTTGTTTGGTCTGAGTTTTCTTCCCTGGAGAATTAATTGACGTCCCTTACTTGCGGGATTCAATCTATTTGAATAGCCTATTAGGGACCAATTTTAATATTTGCATTAGGCCCTTGACCTGGTCTTGGGAATCCTTGTTGAAACTTCACGTTTCAGACTTAGAATCCCTAGTGTGCATGAGTAGCAACTGCTATTCATGTACACGAATTTAGTGGTCACGAGTTAAATACTCAATTACCTATACTAAGTATGAATGGGTTTATGTGATCAATTTTTCGTAAACATGGATTTTAAACTTTATTGGCTTGGAAAATGATATTCTTGAGGTTGGCAATTTGCCTTTGAGGCTTAAACGAAATGCCTGAAAATTTAAAGAGTTAAAATAACGTCTTTTGACCATTTGTTTAATTGCTATCCCATTTCTTTTATTTTAGAGCAATTTATGGCACTTGGTTCGTCCTGCATCTGTCTATCCTATGCCCGAGCCCTTGTGGGTCTTATCCTCAGCCAAATGCCAGATGGAAACCCAGGAACTTTCGCCTATGGGCAACGTGCCTCTATTCAGTGTGCTCAATCTCGCTTGAAAGAGGTACATCTCCTTTTCTCATATCGTCTTGGCAAAATTCAATAGTTTTTCCACTTCTATGACACAAATGGATTCTGTGAAGTAAATTGCTCTTTCTTGACCATAATGGAATGCGAGGTGTTCAGAGCCCTTGACTTGGGTAGAAGGAAGGTAGTTTGAGGTCACTCTTATGGGAAACTCTCATCTTATCACCTATTGTTATCAGAATTATTCAGGTTTTTTGGTCGCCTACAACATTACATAGGTATCGATGGCGACTGATCTCTTGACTGCTTCTACAGTACTACTGTACAACTGAATGAAAGCTTAAAATCAGCGTCCTGCATCTTTAGGGACCTAAGTCGGGATGCGGCGGTAATAGATGCTAACGTCTGTTATGTTGGGTTAAATTCTTTGACAATAGTGCAATTTCGCAATCTGTTGAGTTTGCTTTGCATCTTTAAAATTAAGCAGCTATCGATCGCTTTTTATTTTTTTTGTCTCCAGTGCTGAATGAATATTTATTATTCATAGGTTTCGAGTCCATTGAAAAGCACTATTTTGGCAATGGCTTCTGCTCTTGAACAACTCGTAGAGCGAACTCCAGCTGCTACCACTACTACATCCCAACAAACCAAACAGAACTCTTCCGATTTTACAACAGAACCATCCGCATCATCATCTTCCCCAACCCTCCTTCCTCCTTCATCACCGACCCTCAGTTGTATGAGTGTCCTCTCAGATCTAGATTCTGCAGCCAGTCTGGATGTTGTCCAACTCACTCTTGATCCTCAAACAGCTAGCCGTCGATTACAAGAGCATCTCATAAGTCAAATCCTGCCCACGGTTCGTATCTTTGCTCTGTGTTTGGCCCGTTGGCGTGATGGGTTGAAACTTCATAAAGACGAGTCCTTTGAACCTATTCTTTCACTCTCCCTCCCCTTCGTTGGCATTTTGAGTGACTCCAAGAAAACCGATCTCAATGGGGAGTATTTTGTGAAGGAATTTCTCTCTCTGGCTTCTTTCCTAAGAATTGGAACTCCAGTTCCCGCAATGTCTGTTGAACAGGAAGATCCTTTGATTGGAATAGGCCCACTCTTGCCTTTTGTACAAGCTGCGGCAATGCGTTCAGGTCTAACAGCCTCTCTAGATGGTGTGACAGCTTTGAACGAGATTCTGCACGGTTGGATTAGTCAGCTCACCGCTAATTTATCTTCGGAGCCGAATTTAGCGGAGTCAGCAATTCAATCGTCAGCAACTTCGCAACACGATGGATCGGCGACTGCTCAACTACCGCCATCCATTCCAACTCCTGCAACGGCGAGGATATATTTACGTGGAATGCAACAGCCCCTCCTATCGAGGCCGTTTCGTGGAAGTCAGATGTTATCAACCCTTACTGGAACCTCTATTCCCAAGCGAAATTTCTCCCTTGCCGACTGGGTGAAAAATCTTGGGGTTAGTGCCCTTTTTGATAGCATTCTCCAAAACATGTATCTTGAATGGTTCCTCAAATTTCCTTCTGTTGACCAAGTTTCCAAACACATTACCTTCTCTTTTTCTGTCAAGCTGTTCACTTGATATTTATATAGCCTTAAAACCATCGCGTTAATTCTTCACAATATCAATTTTTTGTGGAGGAAAGATAGTCTGGAGCCTCTCTTATGAAAAGCTCGCATTCGATTAGCCCTCCTTGCGGCTGGCTACTTACTTTTTTGAAAATACGGCATTGTGCACTGATCTTATGACCTTTGACTTATGAGGTGTGTGTATTGATCACTGCATAACTTGTTCGCAATGTACTTATGTGTCTTTAATCCATGCCATTTGATTAGCAGATTCGCGCTCTTATCACTATGGGAACCGGTTTTCATAAACCTGAATTTATTGAATCGAATTGTGTCAGAGATAAGGCGCATGTATTTAGGATATTAGCGTTGTGTTTATCTTTGGGTTTTTTTCTTTTCCCATTAAAAATGCGTCAATTTCCAAACACTTCGGTCGGACTGCCCATTTTCCCGTAATAATAAGATTTACTTGGACCGAATTAGTTTAACAGTAACGGGCAGTGAAGCTAATTGTTTATGGCTTGAAATGCTTGCGAACGCATTGCATAAGAGTCGCATAATTAAAATGCTTGTCCACGCTAATAGCTAATGTTTGATAAAATAATGCTATCTAAGGAGTGGGGGAGATTTATAAACTTTATTATAGCTATTGTCATTTTATCATCAATCTTCTGCACAAACTAGTGGAAAGAAGATAGTTATTAAAGTAGGGTTGCGTTGGGGAACGGTGACTACACATCAGCCAAGTAATAAATTGGCGGTGGGTTATCCCATAATTGGCACCGAGTAGTGAACAGTAAGTCAAAACTTGGATATTTTTGTGGTAAAATCGATCTGATATGTGACAATAAGTGTGGACTTGTTCATTTCAGTATACTTAACTGTTTATATAACTGTTTTTTCATTTTTAAATGGTTCAAACTGCTCTTTTCACCAACAGCCTCTGATGGCTACAGGAAGGCAGCTCTACCCACCACGACTTATTAGACCCCCGGAAGCATTTGATGATCTCTTCAACAACCTCCAGGTGGTGAGTTCTGCAATAACGAAGCATCCCTTCCAGAATAATGTACTCTGCCTTATATGTGGTCAACTTCTCTGTGATATCTGCTCGCCCAACCTAGCTACACTCCTTTTCAAGGTAAGCACTCATAATTTTTAAATGTCCTCTCCACTTGCCTATTATTCCACTGTTATCAATTTAATGCCTAATCATATCTGATTTACTTACCAATTTTTTTACGCCCACTCTGCTTTACAGACGCATTCAATTTGTTTTGTCTTTTCCCCAAATACTGCCGTCAACACAACTTAAAAGGGAGTTTAAATAAAGATGCTGTTGATAGCGATGTCTAAAGACATCTTTATTAAAGAACATTTTATAGATTAACTAATGTGATAGTGTATCTTTCCACAGTGATCACTTTCTCTGACTCATGCAAGGACATGGAGATGAGCTTATCTTGGCATGATAGCTTTCCCATTGGTCCACGCTATGCATACTACTTGAGTTTTCCCCTATTGTCAAAAATTCCAGTTTAGTCTCTTTCCTTTTCTTCATTGGAAATTTGCTTGGCGGCCTTCAAAACTCTGATGGTTATTTATAGATTGGTCGAGAGTAGTAGTAATAGTTTCTCTTCTTTGCATTTTGAAATGCAACAGCGGGTTTTGAATCCATGTTAATGCAGTTTTTATGTTCCCTGGGG